GGCAAGTCTTTTTTATGTACTTTTCACAAATATTTCTTCATACTTATATTTATTCAATTTTGTTCAAGCATATATTTTTATAGTTCTTTTATTATGAATATATTTTAACTTATATTATTCATTTTCATCGCTTTTCATTTTTAACTACAAACGGAAAACTTTCAAAAACAAAGCAACAGGATATGAAAAAAATGTTAGAAGATAATAGTCTAAACCATGCAAGCAGGCAAGCAGGCAAGCAGGCAAGCAGGCAGGCAGGCAAGCAAGAAAAAAGCTAAATAAACAAGCAAACTGAAATATATGCATATATTAGACAAACAAATTAAACATTAAAGAAACAAAGAAACAATTATAAACTCATACAAACAAATAACAGTGATAGAGGTGACCACCAAAAGCAACTTGCATCCATTTCACACCATCTCCAGAACCAAACTCATTTTTAGCTTTCCGATTCCTTGGAGGTTTTTTGTCATTAGCCTTAAACAAAAGAAAATGGAAACTCGTGATAAATTGCATGCACACTGGTGCATGCACTACCTCATGCACTATCCTTTTCAAGTTCAGTCTTTTAAAGAGTTGATCTAAACTAATGCTTACCAAAATAAATATTTTCTACACGTAAATACAAATGCATCTCTTAACTCATTCTAAGTCTTGGCAGCAACTGAGGGAGACATTTGAATGCTGCGCCTAACAAGAAGACTATTTAAATTCCAACAAGATGTTGAGACAAAAAGCTCTTTTGTTCTTATTAAACAAAAGAAGTTGGAAACTCGGGATAAAATCGCACGCACACTCAAACGATTCTTAAACTGTGGAATTGCTTATGGTAAGGGTGTTGGGGAGGAACTTCTCATACCAATTTTTTTCAATGCGCATGCGATTTTTATTGCGAATTTCTCACCTTTTGTTGAAATGAAACTCGAGAATAATTATAATTATCTGCTTTATTCATATAATTTTTTTTTGCTATGAGGGCGAAGAATTCATGAACATCATTAAGTGGTATAATACATTAATAGACCTCATCGACTCTGGAGCACTTGAGCGTAATGTTGTCCCATTTCAGACCATGTGTCATTTCCTGGAGTATAATATTCTTTGTTTGAGTTGTATCCATATTCATGTGTCTTCTCATGTGCAACCGAGCGCAAACATTAAACAAAGAAATAATACTCTAGGGAATGACACGTGATCTGAAATGGTAAAACATTACGTCAGAGCAGAGGAGGTCTATTGAGCAACTTTCATCAAAATATTACGAGTGGTATTTTGTATTAATGGTTTGAAATGGGAAAACATTACGTCAGAGCAGAGGAGGTCTATTGAGCAACTTTCATCAAAATATTACGAGTGGTATTTTGTATTAATTCTTAGAGAAATAAGGTGGTAATTCCTATTAATAACAGATCTACAAATAATTAAGCAGCATGTTCATCATAATAATAAGCCTTTATTTTTGTATTTCATTTTCTTGAAAACAGAGCATAATGAAATTACACATATTATTAAGAAAGTGATATACTTGTTGAGTGGTTAATCACAATACACTTTGAGTCAAGGCTATGGGAAACAATAGTGTAATCCTAATTATTCTCTTCTTTTCCCCGGCACATTGTTTAGTGCATGTTGATCACTCAACCAAAATATCCAACGTTGAATGGATTGAGAGAGACTTGATATATACAGTCAATTCAAAAAATGTTGTCGTCAACCAACTCAAGCCTACGCGACTGGACTGAAAGGAACTCTGGGTAGTAATCATTGTAGCCGAGTTGACTCTATAATTTTATCTGACTAGTTATGCCTGGTTTAAAGCATGAACCTTTATAGGCGAGTGGGAAGTGTTGAAGAAGACGTTTTTTTCATGCCTTCATATTTTCAAAATTGTGAACTGAATCATAACTACTTTGTTTTTCTTTCCCTAAATCCAATTACATGCGTTTGATGGATTGTTTCTCGCCATTATTATCTTATTACTAGCGGGACAATTAATTCAGAATGAATATTTGACCGCTTCAGTGATTTTTACCTATATTCCTTTCGGTCCAGTCACGTAGGCTTAAGCCGGTCGACGACAACGTTTTTTGAATTGACTGTATCTGATCAACCAATCAATAACAAGTTTTTGGTAGATGCGTTATTAAAACACTAACTATAATAATGTAAAAATAATTAGTTTACAAAACCCTTACCCTGATATGACAATTTTAATGCAAAGTTTTTTCATGGCCATGTGAACCCTGAAAACATGAATCTTTAGTGCCAAATTATTACACTCCTCATTCTCATTTTGAATTTTTCAAATAAATCCTCAATTCTAGTGAATATGTAATAGAAAAATATTTTGATTTTTTTTGAGCAGTCTTTTATATTAATCTAAAATTTGTTGAAATATTATGATTCAAATTAATGTAATTTGAGAAGTAAGGAGAGGTTGGGAGCTGATAATTGCTAAAATTTCTATGGCAAGTTATGTTCATCATGGTTTATATTGTGGTTATGCAAATTATTCATACTCTACCATGGAGGAAATTTAATAAAAGGGTCCCTTTCCTCTGAAATTTCCAGAAACTTTGTAACACCCCCCTCTAACCCCCCATACCTAAGGAACTTCTGATTCCTCCATGGTGTGGTATGGATTGTTCTGGAACAACGCATTCTACTTAATGAGATTGAGTTGTATGTAATCATTTTTTCTATCAGTCCAAATGTGGCCACCATTGATTTTCAAAGATGAAACTATTTTGAAAAGTACATTTTTATAAAAGTTTTATGACCATTTATCTAACTTCAATGAAGTTATTTGGAATTAAAAATCCAGAGGTTTTGCAAGTGTAAAAACTATTGAGGACTGGGTATATTTTAATCTTAAACTTTTCACTTTTCGTATCTAATTTGAAGCACTATTAAAATACGTATTTCAAATATAATAATTGAGCGGTGGCCACCTTTACACTCAGTCTTTAACTCCAAGGATGCTTTATACCTAAACTACTACAACCTTATACCAAGACCAGAGTGAATATTACCATTAACCGCAAAAGATTCTAGAAGTAGAATTATAAAATGTCATCATGCTTGATGTAGGAAATCAGCAATGATGTAAGCAAATGTCAGAGTTCAAAGAACTGTTCGTCACAAGTATTCATTATGTCTGATTTGGATCTGTTGACAGATTGCCTTGATGCTCTTTGGTTAGGAGAGGAAAAGGACAAGGGTCTAAAGAGGTCATCTTCTCTTGTTCTACTTGCATGTTGATCTCTTTCAAGTTTTTCCAGCAGTTCTTTTCCTGAGTGTAGCCTAATAAAACAAACAATGTGTAAGATATGGTGAGCATTAGTTGTATTATAACACTAATACCATGATCACCTCGGGATCCATTGTTTTTGGAGGGTGTTTAATCACTAACATCCCTCCCTCATGAATGACATGAAGGAAATTTAGAAACTAAATATCCCTCATGTTATTCATGAGAGGTTGTCCCTCATGTAACGTAATCATCGGGACACTGAGTCTAAAATGACCCGGTTCGAAAACTGATGCATTTTTAATGAGGATGTTTGCCACCCTGCAACGGGCTTTATTCAATGTGGGATAGAGAAATTGGTCTTAGAGTGGGATTCTATACGCTAGGACAAACTTTGCGCATGCGTTATAATGGACTAAAATTACCAACTTCTTACAAACTAATGTTTTACACAAATGTTAATTTTCTCGGTGCAAGGGCAGCCTTCACGCAAGCGCAAAGCCATTTTGAAACAAAAAGCAAAAAGTTAACGTTTATTCAACCACTTTATTGATTTTTCACACATCTTATTTAGAACTGATTGTAATAATAAATGTTTAATTTTAGTACTCCATGCAGTGTGTCTTTTAGTGTTCTCTGGAACTGTAGCTTCTCTAACACTCTAGACTTCAGCGTCTTTTAAAAAGCTAAAACGACCTTCCGCCATTCTGGTCAAGTTGTAGTAAAGCAAAAATTTATTCCTTAATTTATATGTTTTCTGTGTTGACAAAAAGACATTCCAATGAGAGTTCTTAAACAAATTATTATGTCATTGAAGTAGTTTTAAGAAAACATTTTAAGTTTTAATTAGCATTTTGCTAACCAAACACTCTCTTACTTGTGCTTCCATGAGTAATCATTCAGTCTAAGTTCTTTAAACAATGAATTTTGATTTCTCAAGCATGTTAAGGCTTGGTTTTTTAATGGATCAATGAAAAACTATGCTTGTGCAATAACTCTATTAATTTTAAAGGGTTTCTTTTAAAGCTGTGACATTGAGGGTTGGCGCTAAAATCATAATTAGGTTTCTTGAAATTTTAAGGATGGTCATGTTGACTTCCGGCGGTCACGTGACCTTAAGGCAAGAAAAATAGAAATTTCAAAATGGGCTGACAGTTTTTATGTGACTGGAAAATTTTTCAATGTGAAATTGTTAAGTAAAATAATATTAACAACAACCTGTCCGGAATAGTTGAAAATTATTCTTAGTTAAGACAAAAAATAAGAATATTCAATATTTGGACTCGGTCACGTGACCTGTTTTGTTAATTATCCCTTTAGCCAGAACCAAAGTACATCTATTCCGGACAGATTCTTGTTCAGGTTAATGTACCTAACAACTTGAAATAAAAATATTTTTGATTCATAGAAAAACCGCCAGCCCATTTTGAAATTTCTCTTTTGCCCTCCTTAAGGTCACGTGACCACTGGAGGTCGAAAAGACCATGCTTTAAATTTTTAGAAACCGAAATATCACTTAAGGTCCAAAACTCCATTTCAAAAGCTTAAGCTTTAACTAAATGTGATTTTTCAACAAACCGGTAAAATACCAAGCCTTAACATGCTTGAGTTAGTAGGCTAGAATTAAGTAGGCCTTAGTATGCTACCAATTTGCCAAATATTTTGCCAATGTTTACACGGATAAAACAAAAACATGAGGTACAAAGTTTTATATCTCCCTTGAGACGATAAATCAGATAGATGGATTAGACAGTTTGATAGCAACTTATTAGTATTCAAGTTCGATTTGTTTTCTTTAATTTCCTCGGAAATCATGGTATTACAAACTAATACAATGGCAATTTCGGGATATTAGTGATTAAATGTCCCCTCTGCCTCGGGAGGTTTAGTGAAAGTCCCTCGGCCTACGGCCTCGGGCCTTCCACTAAACCTCCCTCGGCTTCGGGGACATTTAATCACTAATATCCCGAAATTGCCATGGTATTGCTTATAATAAACCATAGGGGCGGGCAACAAGAACTGAAGCAAAATATTAGATAAATTACTGAGAGTAGAGAGTAGAGGTATGAGGATGGCAATGATAATGACAAGACATGGTGATGAGGAGGATGGTGATGATAATGACAAGACATGGTGATGAGGAGGATGGTGATGATAATGACAAGACATGGT